GGTAATTTGAAGATTATTTGCTAATACTGAAGAAAATATTAAGGCATGATTTAGAGAATTTTGGTTGATGATAATTGGAATGTTTCCTTATTTTGTTATATTCTTTCCGTGATTGTCTCATTTATTATAAAACAAACTTGTTGTAATATGACTACATATATGTGTCATTGTAACACTTCGGATATAAGCGAATATAGTCTTCTTCCTTCTCCCGTGGATGTAGGTTGCCACACTGGCGCCGAACCACGTAATTCTTTATGCTCTTTCTTATATATTTTATTGAATTCTTCATTGTACTAATAACCAATCCAGATATTCAAGTGTCATTAATTGATTAATCACCTTAAAAACAGGAAAATGAATCACATTTAAAATGCTATATCACTTGCATGTCACGGAAGATGGTGCAACATAACATTATTGTTCAACAAATTTCTATATAAAGATGACGCCTAATGAATAGATAGTCAAATTTAAAATTGATTTTCAATGAATTGTATCGACAACCAAATATTGGTGTTTATGTGTAGTTTATTTTATCAAAATAAAAACAAAACCACAAATAAATATGTATAGAAAATATAAAATTTGACAAATCATATTTTGAATCTAAACGGGCTAAAAAGTGTCGATTTTCTTTTTTTTTTTCACATCAACTCGATAGAATTCCCATCAAATTGCATTGAAGGTTAATGTTCTTAAACATTGTTTATTTTACTTATGTTACAGACTATTTATAGTATTGGAGATGCTCTAAGTATATAGTAATTTATCTATAACTAATAAGTACATTAACTAATTATCTTTTTTTTTTTTTACACAGTATTTTTCGTTCTAATATCAAATATAAACACATCGTGACTAAATATTGTATACAAGTTACAAAGTATCTCATTTAATATTTAGCCTATGATTGATCTTCATTTATTTAAACTCATTTTCAATCACACATTTCATCGAACGCACAAATTTTATCAACCTCTCAATCAAATATTTTATCAATTTTTATTAAAATCTATTAAAAATCTATTTTTTTTTTTTTTTTTTTATCTAAGTCAAAACGGGATTTTCACGGATTTCATCGAAAATTCCGTCATGAATTTTTTAAACAGAATTTTAGATTCTTTTTCTACTTCAATGCTGTCCCTTGAAAAATCACTTCATTTGACAGGGCATCGTTTTGAGAGAGAAAATAACAGGAAAAGAAAGGTTGTCAGATAAGAACCAAAAACATGAAAGCCAAAGGGGGTTCTAATTTTGATTGCTAAAGCAATCCTTGGAAAGACAACATTGATTCTTACAAATGATCATATTCACGTGGGTGTTTGGTAAGGTGAAGAAAACATTATTAGTCAGTATGACAAAAAATAATTAAATTTTCTATACTGTGTACTAAATATGTCTTAAAAGGACCGTCTAGACTAAAAAGAGCGAAGAAAACCAACTTAATAACTGCTTTTTCGACTATATAACGAAGGAAAAGAGAAAATCAAATTACCGAAGTATCCCTCCAAATCGAATGGACAGCAGGTGCTATACTTTACTTCCCACGAGGTCTCGCTGGTTTAAGAACACAAATCGAATCGAAAATTTTTAGTTGCATTTAACATGAGTTTGCATGGGCTATGAACTTCAGTAGAAAATCAGTACTCTGTCATTTAATTCACATTGCAACCAACATAATTTACACCATACACACACTTCTATTGGTACATTTCATACAAGCTTGTTGAGGACAACAATCTCAAAACTAATCTTCATTGTTCTTATGTTTTCTTCTTGATCTGCTGAAAAATTTAGGAGGAGATGGAGAAAACTCGAATGGAGGTGCTGGGAGTTCCGTTTCCCCTTTCAAAACCTTAACTATGTCACCAATGTCCGGCCGCAACTCGGGCATTTTCTGTAGGCAAGCTAGTGCCAAATTTATACACAAGGTCACCTCGTCCTTGTCATAATCGTCCTTCAGTTTTTCGTCCACGAGTTCTAATATGTTTCCTGCATAAGCCAAGTGTCGACACCAACTTATTAAGTTAGCTTTATTGAGTTCCATTGGCGAAGAAAGTACATGAAGTGGCCTTCGACCAGAGACAATCACAAGGATCAAAACACCGAAACTGTAGATATCAGCCTTCTCCATTAAGTATCCACATGTACTAAATTCAGGTGCAACGTAACACAAAGTCCCCCGCATGCTTGTGGTGCTGCTTAGTTCTCGACTAAAAACATCTCCACTCCACAAATCACTCCCTATAGAACGCGAATTCTTCTTCTTCCAACCTTTCCTAAAACTGAATTCCATATCTGGATCATCCACATTTTTGTTCTTGTGCTCAAAATTTCTCCTCCAGCGTTTTCCCAAACTCAAATACCGTAATTTGAACCCTTTTTTACTCCTTATCTCAAGCTTGTTTGCCTTCTTAGTACTCTTCTTGCTTAGTTCATCAAGGTGCTCTTCTTTCCACCATTCTTGCATCTTCCGATGGTTCTTAGTAGGCACTTCCAACCTCTTTGATCCTTCCTTCATGATGCCTCCTTTAGGACAATCAAATCCAGTTTCTCGAAACGGGGTTTCATTAACTTCCTCAAATTTGTCCGACAGGATTGAATTATCCAAGTTAATGTTCTCTTGGCCGCACTTTGTTTCTTCATTCCAACAAGGATTAGCTGAAGGGCAAATTTGGCTCCCAATCCATTCCATCACATAATCCCTACTGCACCATTCATCACTCTGATCTTGTCTCCACCACCAATCCTTTCCCCATTGTTGTCCATCCGGTGTATTACTATTACTAACGTCCCCAACAAATACAACATTGGACTTCAAGTCCTTGCTATGATCCATACTACTCAATTCATCCTCGTAATTCACAAACTTATTCCAATCCTCCCCACCATTCTCATTAGTCGATGCCTCCTTCCCCTTTGCATCTTTATTGTCATTATCATTCTTAGTCCTCGAATTACCATTACATTGTAAAGAATTCAAGGCTATTCCTCTAACATTACGATAAATTTTACAACTTTTTCTCGAAGAACATGAAGCTTGCAAAGCTAGAGCAAAGTCTACCTCATCATTTTCTTGGCTCTCGACCGGAGTCCCAGTTGCTGGAGTCTCAATCTCTCCACCTCCAACTCGGATAGAGTTTCCTAGAAGTTCTTGACTTTTCCCCAAATCTTGGCTATACAAATCAACCCCAAAATCACCCTCAAGCTTCAATTTTGCCAACCCAAAATCCGAAAGCTTAGCTCTAAACTCTGAATCAAGCAACACATTGCTCGGCTTCACATCCCCATGTATCACAGGGGGATCCAACTCAATATGCAAAAAAGCCAATGCCTTTGCAATATCAAGAATAACTTTAAATCTCCTCTCCCAACTCAAGCACGAAATATGAGTATCATTACCATTGTTCGATTCCGAAAATAAGGATTCTTGCAAGCTTTTATTAGGCATGTACTCATAAACCAAAAGCCTCCTACTTTTCTCTACACAATAACCCAACAAAGAAACAATAAAAGGGCAAGATTTTAGTCCACCAAGAATCTTCAACTCATTTTGAAACTGCTGTTCACACTGAAATGAATTTGAATCAAGAAGTTTAATGGCAACTAACTTTCCATTCTTGAGAATGCCTATGAAAACAGTGCCAGAACCCCCTTTGCCAATGGAATTGGAATCACTGAAATCGTGAGTTGCATTCTTGAGCTCTTTGTAACTGAATCTTTGAAGCTTGTTTAAGGGTGTGCTGGAATCAAATGGGCTGGTGCGTGACCTATGAACCAAAGAGAACCACAGATAGTAAAGAAAATAAATAATTGCGAAGAGAGTAATAAAAGAAGCAGAAACTGTGATTGGAAGCAAAATTATGCTTATTTTGGGGCTTGGACTTGATAAAAATGGCTGTCTTGAAGGCATTATGCTTGTGGGTTGTGAATATTTTGCTTTCAATGAAGATAAATGGAGGGAGAGAGAGCAATAAAAGAGATGTTTTGGAGCATAACCCAATCATTTGTTTTTACATTTTTTTGTGGTCTCTGGCTGTGAAGTTCCTTTAATAAAGTGTTGAAATATTCTTTGAAGCTATCAACATTCTCTTCCTATTACTGGGGAAATTTTATTTGATTGATTGAATTTCAATTTAACTTCAAATTTTCTCTCTTTTATATTTAGCCATCAATTGTTTTCAAATTTGACCGAAATTGTTTAGTTGGTAATCATAATAAGTAATAATTCATGATATTTCACGTAATCGTTACGTGGCACAATATGAAAAAGCTAAATGAGAGTTTTGACCACGCATTATGAATAACGGGTTACATTTGGTCACCAATTATCCAAAAAAAAAAGACAGAAATGCTTGGTATTCATAATAAGTAATAATTGATATTTTACATAATCGCTGTGCGGCACCCTATGCTCGAAAAAGGTAAAATGAGAGTGATGACAATGCACCGTGAATAAAGGGTTAAAAAAAAACATATTTTTCATTTTAACACTTTCATGATATGACGCTGTGACAACGTTGAAGATCATCTCAAAATCACCGCTAGGCAAGCAACTTTCATCAATTTTATCACTGAATTAGATATATTAAAATGTAGTGATCCAACTAAAATTCTTCTAAAATTTTACTATTTTATAGTGAGAGTAGATAAAACTTACATTAAAGTTATGCTAATATCCTGATTTTTTTTTTTTTTTTTGTATATTCCTGCATCATGTAAAAGTCTTGCTCATTATTGAGTTGTCCCCAACAAATGGCCCAGCACAGAAACGTTAAAATTTGAAAGTTGTGATCCATCATTCCATTTACTACTTTAGGGGAGTTTTTTAAAGGGTAAATTTCTATTGGAGTCGCCAATCTTTCTCATATTTGACAGTTATGTCTTCAGTCTTTCAATTGTGTCACCATATCCCTACCTTTAACATTGTTCACGCAATATCCTACTTAATGGAAAATTTCTTTTTAAACGTTAAGGGTCTAGATGGTTTGTGTTTTAATTTTCAATTTTGAGTTCTGGATTCGTTTTTCAGTTTTTTTGTTTTAGGGGTCTGTTTTAAGATTACTAAAACATGTTTGGTTTATCGTTTTGAAAAATATTTCTCAAATCTGAAAACTATAAAACATGTGTTAGTTTGCAATTTTAGAAAATTGTTTTATGAAATTTTATTTTATGAAATTTGATTATTCAGTGTAAATAGAAAAAAATATATATATGCTAATGTCTTGTCAAGTAATATATACATTTTAAAATTGGTGAATTTTAAAATATTTTTTCTTGCTACAAAATTAAAATAAAAATAAATAATAAATTGAGTTCAAAATATAAAAAATAAAAATATCGACGTGGAATATAAAAACGGCCCCTGTTTGCCATTGTGTGTTGAATATATATTTTGTGAACGTATAATGTGAAATATACATATGAATCTCTTTTTGGAGTTCTAGATGAAGAAGACATAAAATTCGAAAAAAGTGGAATTAAAAACACTACAATGGCGCCTCGGCGACAACTCATTCACCATAATATTTTTTTTTTTTTTTGAAAATTACTTAAATTGAAGTTCCCGACTCTATTAGTATGTCATAAATAGTTTGTGTGAATTCCAAATAACGAGAAAATTTTTTTAAAAAAAAAAAAAGAAAGAGAATTCGTATTATAATTTCGTTCAAGAATTTATGATAAAAAAATATAAGTTTTTGGATGGGGCCCACACGATAATATATTTATGAGACTTTATTACAGAACCAACAACTTTGAGGGGCCGTAGTCTGTTTTGTTTATCAAGAGCTTGAACTATTTTCATTTTTTATAATTTCAGTTTTATTTTTTTAAAATTGAAAATTTATTGAAATAAAATTTTATTTAAACTCTTGTTTTCCATGTTTTGAATGTTTTCAAAATTCTCACTAAAAACACTCAAATCGTCAAAAATGCGTTTTGAGTTTAAGTTCATTTTTGTTTTGAAAACGTACGATTAAACACGTTTTTAGCATTTTGTAAAACTGAAATATAAAAACAGTTTGAAAACAGAAAATCAAGACTAACAAGACCTAAAATCTAAAAAGCACAATAGATTATTTGCAACGATCTGTCAATAAATGGTGTTGTCTCTTGGAATAGTAAGAGATCCTACGAAATGTAGAATAACGAGTAATATAAGTATTCAACGAAGATATATTGCAGTACTCACACAACTACGTGCTCAAAGTCCTTAATATTTGGGAGCTTGCTCAAGTGTGAATAATAATTCAAAGTTTTGTGGACTCGTCCATTGTCACGTAATTGTCGCATTTTTTACTTGCCCTTTATTGATGTGTAAATAAAGCTGTAAGCTTGTCATTGCTATTATTCAAAAGAAGGAATATAAGATGCAGCATAGAGTTTTCTTGCTAATGAGTTTGGAAACATAGAACATGTTTTGAGCATGCTTGTAGGACCATATCACCACCAACGTTCGATATTTTTATCATGGCACTTGGGTTTATCTTCTTGATGGTTTTAATTCTTTGCCCGTAAAGTTTTTCTTTTAATACCTTTTTACAAAAATGTATGTTTTTTCACTTTTGGTCCCTATCATATTGGGTTCTGTAGATTCAGGACATGTCCTTTCAATTTTGACATCCTTTACAAGAGTGGTCATTTTCGTCCATAACCGTCCAAAATGGACGTTGAATGGTCACGAGCACTCTACGTGTTCTTTTCAAAAGGTCAACCAATCACTTAAAAATAAAAATAAAATATGATCAATTTAATTGGGCACTGCAATATTTGTAACCCTCTTTCGAGAATTTGGAAGCAAGCTTGTGAAAATAAAACATTGGAAAAAAAATAATAATTACACATTGGAAGTTGTGAAATTAAATGTTAAAAGATAAATATAAAAAAGGCTATTAGAATATTTAAAAAATTTTACTCTCTAAATTGAAAAATATACTCCTTAAAAATAGAGTATTTTGAAAAAAAAATTATAACTCAATAGTGAGTTTAATAAAAAAAAAAAAATAGCAATGGGTTTCATTATTAAGCCAATGGTGTGGGTGAAGGTCGGAGACGCCTAACCCTCTCTCGGGAATTTGCAAGGAGATAGTAGAGAACATATTAAACCTATGTTTGACAGAACTTATAAATTATTTAAAGTATCAAACTCCGTTTTAAACAACATATTTTAATACATACGAAAGATTTATTGACTTATTCACAACTTATTTTTGTTTATTTAGCCTTCATTTGTGAATAATTTATAAATTAATAAAAATAAGTGATAAATAAATAGATAGTAATTGCGAATCTCTTGCAATGTGTGGTTGAAATGAAGTTCGACAATTTATAAATGATTTATAAATTATCTAAACACTTGATCTTTCTTAAATAGATATTCTCATCTAGCCCATGATTTACATTGTATCTTGCCTATATACTTATTAAACTCTTCAAATTTGTATGATTTTCTCACTCTCTTTAACAACGACAAGATTTCGGGAACTCGATACTTGGTCTTCAAGTTTCTTTGTATTGGTATATGCAGTAACCATAATGTGCATCAAGATAATTATCACTAATACCATTTCTTATACAGTTTCTCGATAAAAAACAAAAACAAGGCTGTCGAAATCTCTCGTTATTTCCCTTAGCTTTTTGAAGAACCAATTGATCGATTCATCATTATTGAATTTGACTATGACAAAAATAGGTTTTGGAGTCATGTAAAAAAGGAGTTGCGGTCTAAAGTTCACGAGACATTTTTAGTGACTTTTCAATAATCTTTTTAGAATAAATAGTGGGTGACGATCACAAAATACATGAATAATAATGAGTAGTAATATGAATGTATTGTTGAAATTAAAATTTGATTGCATAGTAAAAATTACTAATATGCATCCCAAACAGAGACAAAGAGTGGAGAAAACCTTTATTTTCATTTTTATAAAAATAAAATTCTAGGAAAACTTGGGCGTCATATGATCTCCAAGGCCTACCCTTAGTCCTCTCTATTTCCTGATTTCTCGATTAACTAGAAAATTTCCTCCCAATTCGAAGTGAGAAGACACATTTTACTATTCCTATTATTCAATTACGTTGCACGACTAACATTAAGGCCATGTTTGATATGTATCATTTTTCATGGAAGTTAGAAAACAATTTTCATTTTCTATGTTTTGACTTGTTTGATAGTCCTTTTTTGTCATGAAAATTTTTTTCCTACTAATGTCCACACGTGCACATT